GGCATGTAGAAAGATTGGAAAAGCTTAATGTGAAATTTGATAAGGACCTTGCCATTGACATAGTCCTCAACCCTCTGCCTATTAGTTACGATCAGTTCATATTGAGCTATCTTTTGAACAATACAGGGAGCACATTGATTGAGCTTCAATATTTATTGCAAATGGCTGAAGCAATAATGAAGAAGTCTCATTCCAACAATTCTATAAGTGCCCCTGTCATGGCTATCCAACAAAGTAAAGGAAAGAAGAGAAAGGCCTCTACCCAATCCAAATGGAATAGGAAGGTCTATCGTGTGGAGTCCAGTGGAACGAAAACAAAGCCCAACTTTATCACTCCTTCTGTTGCTAATCCGAAGGAAGTCGTGTGCTTTCATTGTGGCCGAAAGGGCCATTAGAGAAGAAGCTACCCCAAGTACTTGCAAGAAGTGAAATATGCCAAGGCCAAAGCAGTTGGGTCTTCTTTTGGTACGTATTATGTTCAAATCAATAATACTTGTATTTCAAATTCTTGGGTTCTTCATACAGGATGTGGTTTCCACATTTGTTCTGATATGCAGGGACTAATGGAAAGTGAAGAGGTCGAGCATGGGAAACTGAGCCTGATCATGGGGAATAAGCAAAGGTCGGTTGTTACCAGGATTGAGACTTATGAGCTAATGTTTCATAGTATTAGGTTTGATTCAGATAATTGTTCCTATTCGCCAGGAATGGCTCAAAACATTATTTCTTTTCATGCTTTATTTAGACAAGGATGTCGTTATGTTTCTTGTAATAATTAGGAGAAGCCCCATGCTCCACATGGGGTGAATGGAGTTTTGACATTAACTGGGTTTTGAGTTGACAAAATGGATAAAACACCAAAAAAATGTACCCCAAGTCAAGAGTTGGAAAATTGCTATTTTAGTTTATTTTAGTGGTGCATTTGTTTCAAAGCTTATCCTTGTGATGATGTGTATGAAACTATTGTTTGTGTGAATGAATTAGGCAACAATGTGTATAATTGATGTGGTGCAGACTAGACCTTATCTACCTTTAAATTTATAACCTAACTACTTATCTATTATATTGCACCTTTTAGCCAATATACCTAGTCAGTGTATAGCATAGTAAAGTAAGTTGGGGTCAAACACAGGGAACGGATTTAATTATTTAACCTAATAACTAAAAATTAATCTAAAACAAGCAAAAGTTAAATTGGTTTTTATCTGATTTTGCAAATTCAGACAAACTTAAACTCTTTAACTAACTATTTCAATCAATTACTAAGAACACTTCCATTTAGTTCGAATCCACTTTTCCTCATTGGTTAGCTATTAATTATGAATTATTAATGTTGGTTATCAAATATTATATTATTAGCAATTTAGGTCAAAATTTACTAATGTTTTCACTAATCCCGGTAAAACTATGTATGGTCATATACTAGCAAACACATAATCAATTATAGAATGTAGATAACCTATGTAAGATTTATCCAATTAAATATAATTGTGGTCACAATCCATGGTCTCCGACATAGCTAAATTAGTTATTTTTATCATTTATCTAAGATTGGATCGATCTTCGCTCTAGTAATTTAATAGTCACTAAACTACCATGATGATGAATTTATTCTCCAATCTCTTCCAAGCCTCCTCAAATCGTGAAAGTGAATGAGTATTTATAGTTTTGGGACTTTTCACACTCACGACATGAACTAGGATTTCACGTCGTGTAATTCAGATAAATCCTTATCGTGCAGGGATTCTGACTTCCCGTGCACTTATCTTCTATAACACTCACTCCACATCATGTAAGTGATGGCCACGTCGTGATTTGGGCTTTTTGTAGGGATTTTTCTTCATTTAATTCTTCAATCCTCCAAAGTTCCACTTCTTGTCAATTATGGTCCTTATTCTTCAAGATTGTTCCTTTTGGCTGCAAAATATAAGGACCACATCATGAAAACTGGTCTTCACAGAATGCAGTTTTGCATGAACTCTTCAATGCAAGTGAAATTCCACTAAATGTCTAAATGTATTGAGACCCTTCTAAGACTTTATTATTTTATGGACTCTTCCCTCATGTCTAATTTCTCACGAAATTAACCCCACACTTAGTAAAGATTGTGGGTTTCGACTCTTATGACACGAGTTTACTCGAACGCTTCTATCTCTATTCTCTCATTTTCCAAATCTACAACATAACAAATAAATAGTGGAAAGAAAAAAAAATCCATCCCATAGTTTGGTTACTAGTTCAAAACAAACCAAATAAAAACTTAAAAACTAAAACAAAACACAAAAAAATAAAATAAATACTTAATAGAGGATATAATTAATAATCATCGCCGTCCTCTTGCGCTCCACTTGTCCCGGCTCTATCTCCTTGCCTTGTCCACAACTCCTCCCAAGTTGGAATGTTCGGGTAATGAGGCGTCATTTTCGGAGGTCGCTCCACATTAAGATCCGTAAATAAGATATCAATAGCTTGATTCTGGTAATTGACACCCCCACAGAGATAGTGCAAATAAGTACCGACCCGACTTTGAAGTAGGTTGGTTGGTACCCCACCCTCAAATTGCTGAGGTGGTTGTTCTGTTTGGCCCCTTTCCCTGTGATCTCTAATATTTATATTTCCCCTTTGTCTTGGTTGTTCCTCTTGTTGACGAATGGGTTGCTCAACATCTTTCAAGGGTAATACAAATCCCCCACTCGTGTTCACCACTACCCACATAACATCGAATAATTGAGTCGTCAAAATCATTATCCTCGAAACGTGTAAGGATCATAATGAAATTAGATCTAAAAATACCATAAGATCAGGTGAGTCGAGTGATCAATTTTCCACCCGTAGTAGGACTACCAGGCCAAGAATTTGCCACCTTCTTCCCCACAAATCTTGCAAGTATGTAAGTTAAGTCACGGAAAACCCCTAATGTATGATAAGTCTATTTTGTGAATATACGAAATTGTCATAAATCTATTGAATTGATGTATAATTGTCCAAGAATGGCATTACTTTGGTGAGTTGTTGAGCTTCATATGCAGGTCAATATATTGTACTAAAAGTGGGCGGAACCTGCAAGTAAAACGGATTGCTAAAGTAATGAAGAAACGTTGCTGGGAAAATTAACCATGCCTCAATATTTTAGTCATATCTCAAGTTCTTGACCACCAATTCACATGAGTAAAGAAGTTCTGGAAACTACACAAGATTTTTCTACAACTTTCTTGTTTTGAGTTTCTGCTAGTTATGTTGTTTTGACCACCAAAACTTACATGGAAGATGAAGGATGCCTCCAGGCATCTAAGACGTCCCCTAGGACACCCAAGTCAAACAGTCAGCATCACATCAAACTTCAGATCAGAAAAGAAGGAAGAACCCCCTTCGGCATCTTACATGGCGTCTAAGATGTCCCCTAGGATGTCCAGGCGTTTTAGGGGCATCTCGTGTTAGAACGACGTGTTTCGGAAAGTTTAGAAATCAAGGCACGACGTCCCAGAAAGCTTCTAAGACGTCCCCTAAGATGTAAAATGTTTTTGACCATTTTTTAGTGTCTTTCAAGGACGATAGAAGGCATGTAAAGACATACAAAGAACATTTGGGCGTTATACACGACGTCTAAGATGTCTCTTGGGACGTCCAATGTCCCACATCGCCTGGTTTCATTAATTTTTGTCACACACTATAAATAGGAACCTATGTATTTGTTTTTAGGGTTACCACCTGCGATTTTCAGAGTTTTTCCTTCGTTTTTAAGGCTTCTAAAACCCTTGGAAACATTTGGAAATACGATTCCATTCCATTTCAATCCAGATTCAATGGAAGATTCGATTCAATTTGTCATCAAGCAACATTTCAAGATCATTCAACCGGTGATTCTAATCAATTCTAGTAATTTTCAGAAACGATTACTTCGTCCTAAGGTTTATTTGTTTCGTATTTTGATAATTAATATGATACATTTGTTTGATGATTCTAAGTTTTATTATGAATTTTCTTACGTATTTCATTTATTTCATCCAAGTTAGAGTTTTTATGAACTCAATGGAAGGCTAAACCATTAGGGTTACTCTCAGGGATGTTTAGGACTTTTTGATGAACATACTTGATGATTACTTGATTCTAGTTAATTTCAATTGTTGTTTTATGCTTCATGTGATGATCTTTGGTAATGATAATTGAAATTGGGTTGTATGAATTGTTTGATGTCATAATTAAGATAGTCTATTGTCAATTCATCATTTGTTCCAAGTTCAAATAGTTTAGGAATAAAGACAAGTGATTATATCAATATATATTATTCCAACTTATGATATTGAATCTTAATATGGTAATAGGTAGTTGGAAGACATTGTATTGTGAGTTTACTAATTTTTCCTAATCCATTTATACATAAGGAGTAAAACAAGTAGTTGAATGAACATATCGTGTGCCCAAAATTATGTGTTACAAGTTAATAAACTCCAATTGCATCTAAGTAACTAAATTAGGATTTAAGGGAAGAAAGTGTGTGAATCTAAATTGTCTGTAACTAAACCGGGAGTACTCTGGTTTTCTCATTGACATTTTTTTTTAATTAATAAATTTCCATGGTTTTTATTTGAACATTGATTTAATCTTTTTTGTGACAATTTCCAATAATATATTTTTGTTGACTATTTTCACACAAAGTTTGACCACAAACTCCTCGTGGATTCGACCCTTACTTATCCAGCTATCTAGTGGTTTTGAGGTTATTTTTGATTGAGACAACGACTTCGATCAAAATTTGGCGCCATTGTCGGGGAGATTGTGCGCTTGAGCTATTGTGTTTAAGTAGTTATAGTGTTTTACTTTCATTTTCAATTCTCATTTGCAGTTCACATTTTGTTTTATTTGTGTTCTGCAGGCACACCGGTGCATGCATACAAGACATAGTGCACGCTCTTCACCACTTGTATTTGATCCAGAAATCGAACGAACATCACGCTCAAATCGGGTCGCCAGAAGGAACATCAACACTATGAATGTAGATAATGTTGTCGTGGAGAATGTGGTTGAGGGGCAATGAGGATGCAGTCAACAATCCTCCACCACTAGTTCCACCACCAGCTCCTCAATTCCCAAACAACAATCGGAACAATGGGAACAACAACAATGTCGGTGCACCAATCATCCAAATAGTACAACCACAACTGAATAGAAACAACCATGGCCAAAATGGTGGGAACAGAGGAAATTGGGCACAAAATATGGGAGGCAATGTAGGAAACCACAACGATGATAATGTTAGAAACCAGAACCAAAATCCTAGAAATGTTGGTCCCCAATTCGGTAATGGTAGTAATGGTGGTAACGAGGATGACTGGGATTTTGATGATGGAAGTCAAAATGGACTTGTTTGGAATCAAAACCACAACGGTGGTAATAGACGGAATCAAGGCAATCGGGGTGGAAACGGGAAATACAACAATAACTGGAACAACAAGAATTTCCCCATTGGTGGCAACAATGACTTCAACGATGGGTTCGGAAATCAAGGCTTTGGGAATCAATACCGAAGGAATCCAAATGGTGGATTTAGCAATGCAAATGGAGGATACTACAATGAAGGTAACCAATTCCCTCATCTTTACTTTCCGCAACCTAATAGACAATCTATGGCATCTCATTTTCAGTTGGGAGAGAATGATGATGCTTCACCTATACTGTTTGCAGAAGGAAACGAGCATCATGTGGAAGTAAGACCAAAACTAATTAGTATCTTACCCGTCTTTAGAGGCAATAAACTAATGATCCATACAATCACCTCTATGAGTTGCTTGCAATTGCTAACGCGAATACTCCACGAGGAACTAACAGAGATTCCTTTAGACTTCACTTATTTCCGTCCAATTTAATAGAAAAATCTAAGTACTTGTTCACTTATCTTGCCCCCCAGAATATTACTACTTGGGAGCAATTAAAAACTAAATTTTTGCAAGCGTTTTACCCTGCTAGTAAAACAAGGGAAATAAGCAAAGCGATACAAGATTTTGCACAAAAACCCAATGAAGAATGTCATGATGCATGTGAAAACCTTAAGGAATTGTTGCGCTTATATCCCCATCATGAATTTCTCCGTTGGCAACTTGTACATTTCTTTTAAGATGGATTCGAAACTGCTAATCAAACTATGATTAATGCCTCGTCTGGCGGCTCTATCATGATGCAAGATAGTGAAGACGTTTGGCGATTCTTGGAGCAGTTGAGTCATGGTTCAAAAACAAATTACTCAGCTAAGAAATGAGACAACCCGGTTTCATCTGTTGCTTCAGTTGGACTAGATAAAAACTAGAAAAATGAAGTCAAATCTGATATTAATTCTTTAAATAAAAAATTTGACATACTACTCTCTAGTCTAGGCAAAGAGAAAGGTGTGTTTTTTTCGCAGGGACAGAAGATATGTGTAAGTTGTGGAGATTCAGGACATATTGCAGATGAGTGCATGAGAAGTCAAGAGGAAATCAATCAAGTGCACGACTATGGTCAATTCCAAAATAATCCACGATCATTCAATTGGAACTACAACCACGGCGGGAACTACAACAACAATGGGAATTTCAACAACAACAAACGTCAAGGGAATTACCAAAATCAAAATCAGCCAAAACAGTTCCAGCAGTCAAACTTTAACCAGGGTGGAACATCAAAGAAGGAAGAAACTGATGGCAACAAGTTGGACAAAATCATGGAGTTCATAATCCAAACATATCAGAAAGCCGACACTAACTCCAAGTCCATAGCTGCTATCGAGAAGCAAATTGCTCAACTGGTAGAGAAAATTGGGAAAAGAGAAGATGGCAAGTTTCCAAGCATCATAACAGTCAACCCATATCACACCTAAAGACCCGAAAAAGAGTATCAAGTGAATGAGGTAATCACCTTGCGTAGTGGGAAAAATGTTGAAAACAAGGTAAGTGCTCCTACCTTAGATAACGACAGTGACACTGAAGTCATCTTTGACGAAAAAGAAGAGTTTGAGAAAGATTTTAAATTTGAAAAACAAAAAACTTCCACGCAAGCTTATGGATCCCAGAGCATGGCGTAGAGGTTAATATCGCACCATACCCTTTGGCTTTAGAGAAACCAACATCCTTCCATTTTGGGAAGTCAGGGCTGAAAATTGAAGACATGTGGGATCTATTTAGTCAAGTTAAAATAAATATCCCGTCAGTCAAACTTATTAAGGAGGTACCTTCTTATGCTAAATTTTTTAAGGATTTGTGTGTTCAAAATTGCAAAATCCAAGCAAACCTCCCTATAAAGATTGACTTAACCGAGCATGCAAGTTCCATAATATCAAATAAACTTCCACGCAAGCTTATGGATCCCAGAGCACCTTTAATTTTTGTTATGCTAGGTAATATTAATATCAAAAAGGCGCTCCTTGATCTTGGAGCTAATGTTAATATAATCTCGGGAAATCTTTTTGATCAACATGAATTAGGCACTTTGGAACAAACTGATATTATTTTGCGATTGGCCGATAAGTCAACCAAAATTTCCCGGGGTATATTATCAGATGTCATCATTAAGGTGGAAGATTTCTATTACCCAGTTGATTTTCTTATGCTTGACACTGAGAGCACTTATAAAGAAAGTCAACCTTCTATTATTTTGGGTCGTCCGTTTTTAGCAACAATAAATGCACAAATTAATTGTAAACGGGTGCAATGGATATCTCTTTCGGAAATAGGAAACTTAGAATTAATATTTTTAGTACGTTTCCTAACTCACCATCAGATTATGAATGTTATCGTGTGGATGTGGTTGATGACGTAGAGCATTAATTCACTCCTAAAATCTTACACCCTTATCCGTTGGAGTTTTTTCTTTCTAATGACAGGGACGAAGTTTTAGAGTTGGATGACATCAAGATGGTTGAGGAGGCATTTGAAAATGCTATTGAGCAAGAGAGGCCACCATGGAGTTATCAAGTTAAAAATTTGCCAACAAGTTTTTCGGACCCACTTAAGACATCTTTGGAGGAGCCACCCACTATTGAACTACTCTTCCTTCACATCTTAAATACTCTTTTTTAGGATCTAACGAGAACTTACCAATTATCATATCTTCTGATTTGATAGGTCCACAGGAGGAAGCATTACTGAAGGTGCTTTCCAAGTACAAGTGAGCAATTGGATGCACCATAGCATATTGAAGGGAATTAGTCCAGCCACATGTATGCATCGAATCATTACTGATGCTGGAGCAAAGCCATCCCAAGATGCACAACAAAGGCTTAACCCAAATCTGTGAGAAGTTGTTAAAAATGAGGTGCAGAAATGGCTTGATGCGTGTATTGTCTACCCAATATCTGATAGTGACTAGGTGAGCCCGACACCGATAGTGCCAAAGAAGTCGGGCAGCACAGTGGTGGATACAGAAGATGGAGAGAAGATCTCAACAAGACCGGTCAACGGATGGAGAGTTTGCATCGAGTTCCGCAAGCTCAATGCTGCAACTTCAAAGGACCATTTCCTTCTCCCTTTTATTGATCAGATTATTGAAAAGTTGTCCGGGAAAAAGTTTTATTGCTTTTCGGATGGATACTCGGGGTATAATCAAATTGCCATCGACCCCGAGGATCAATCCAAAACCACATTCACGTGTCCCTATGGAACCTTTTCTTTCCGAATGATACCATTTGGCTTGTGTAATGCCCCCGCCACATTCCAAAGATGTATGATGGCTATTTTTCAGACGTGGTGGGGGACTCATTAGAAATTTTGATGGATGATTTTTCAATTTTTGGATCTTTTTTTGAGACATGCTTAAACCAACTAGAAAAAGTTTTAGAACGTTGTATTGAGTCTAATTTGGTTTTAAGTTGGGAGAAGAGTCATTTCATGGTAAAGCTGTGAATTGTACTTGGCTATGTTGTCTCCGAGCATAGTTTTGAAGTCGACCGGGCCAAAGTACAAATTATTTCTACTCTTCCCCCACCCACTTCGGTAAAAGGCGTCCGTTCTTTTCTTGGGCATGTTGGCTTTTATCGAAGATTTATCAAGGATTTTAGTGCAATCTTAAAACCTCTTTGTAATTTACTTTTAAAAGACGCACTGTTTTCCTTTGATAAAGCATGTCTCGAATATTTTGCCACATTAAAGAACAAACTCGTTGAAGCCCCTATCTTGCAATCACCCGATTGGACATTACCTTTCGAAATTATGTGTGATGCGAGTGATTACGCGGTAGGGGCAATTTTGGGACAACGGGTGAATAAAAAACCCGTTGCAATTTGATATGAGAGAAAAACTTTTTGAGATGCACAATTGAATTACACTACTACCGAAAAAGAGTTGCTTGTGGCCGTGTTTGCACTAGACAAATTTAGCTCTTACATATGGGGTTTAAAGTTGTAATTTTTACCGACCACAGTGTCATTCGCCACCTTTTGGAAAAGAAGGATGCCAAACCACGTCTCATAAGATAGATCCTTCTTCTTCAATCGTTTGATCTTGAAATTCAGGAAAAAAAGGGTTCCGAAAATGTTGTGGCGGATCATTTATCTAGAATAACTAATAATGATAACTCAACGGAAGTTATTTAAGAAAATTTTCCGGATGAGCATATTCTTGCTGTCAAAACTATACCATGGGTTGATAATTTAGTGAATTACTTTGTGACAGGGGAAACTCCATCATATTGGAATGCTCAACAAAGGAGGTTCTTCCACTCTCAAACAAAATACTACATATGGGAGGACCCGGATCTTTTCAAAATTGGAGCAGATCAAGTGATTAGACGATGTGTACCACATACGGAGCAAGAAGATATTCTCATACATTGTCATTCATATGCATGTAGAGGGCATTTTAGTGCCAAAAAGATAGAGCATCGGGTTCTAAAAAACGGTATTTTTTGGCCCTCTATTTTTAAAGATGCACATACATTCGTTAAACCTTGTATTCATTGCCAACAAGTTGGGGGGATATCACGACGGGATATCATGCCAATCACCCCAATTTTAGTAGTTGAAATTTTGATGTATGGGGGATTGATTTCATGGGTCCGTTCCCCACTTCTTTTGGCAATCTATACATTCTTGTAGCTGTTGATTATGTATCAAAATGGGTCGAAGCCAAGGCTACACATACGAATGACCATAGTGTTGTTTGTATATTTGTTAAGAAGAACATATTTTCTAGACATGGAATCCCTCAAACTATTATTAGTAACGGGGGCACCCATTTTAAAAATTGACATTTTGTAAAGTTACTTAAACACTACGGTGTCACACATAGGATACCTACTCCATATCACCCACAAACAAGTGGACAAGTAGAAGTGTCAAATAGGGAAATAAAATGAATCTTGGAAACGACTGTTCGTCCCGACCGAAAAGATTGGTCATTAAGATTAGATGATGCATTATGGGCATATCGAACAACCTATAAGACGCCCATTTGCATGTCCCCGTATCGGCTTGTTTATGGAAAGCCATGCCATCTCCCAGTGGAGTTGGAACACCGTACCATGTGGGTCATAAAAAATGCTAACCTTGAATTGAGTGATGCAGGTACGGAAAGGAAACTCCAACTTGTTAAATTGGAAGAGATTCGAAAAGAAGTTTACGAAAGCTCAAGGATCTATAAAGAAAAGACGAAGGCATTTCATGACCGACACATTGTCTGAAAACAATTCGTTGAAGGACAATTGATGTGGCTATTAAACTCTCGTATCAAACTCTTTCCCGAAAAGCTTCGGAGTAAATGGAGTGGACCTTTTGTGGTGACAAATGTGGCAGATCATGGTGCCATTGGAATCAAGGACACGAAAGGCGGTGAACCATTCAAGGTAAACGGACAAAGACTCAAACCATACATTCGAATGGTAGATGGCGAAACGAAACTCCTTGAGAAAACAACGCTCGAGGTACCACAATATTCAAAAACAATTTTATCGAGGTAAACGGACCGACTGAAGACGTAAAACTTAGCGCTTTTCGTGAGGCAACCCACAGTTTGGTGTTTTTACTTTTATTTTTCGTTTTGTGTGTTTTAATTTTAATTTTTTTTTTGTATCGAGGACGATCCAGGGTTTAAAGTTGGGGAGGGGGTATTAAACTTTTGTTTAAAATTAAAAATTTCATGAAAAATACCCGAAAAACGTTCCCGAGCAGTCAAAAACGTGAAAATCAACAAAATGTAAAAATAGCAGCTTCATGCATCCTAGAAGACGTCTAAGACGCCTCCTAGAACGCCATCGGGCTGCCTAATTTTTCCCATCGACGAAATCCTATGCGAATTTACCAAAATACCCCTATTTTGTGAGAGGCGTCAAGGATGCGTCTAAGACGTCGCCTATTTTGAGTTGGTTTGCTGCACCTTCTTCACTCTTCTTCTTATTTCACTGCCATGGCTGAAAAGTCCTTATAAAAATCGATTTTTCTTGATTTCTTCCTCAAATCTCAACCAAAACTCTTGATTTTTTTTGCATTTTTCTAGAAATCAAGTAAGAAACATCACATTGCAAGATTTACACACTCTAATCACTTATTTGGGGCCGATTTCAAAACCCCAAAAAAAAAATTAGGGTTTCGTAATTTTGACTTATAATCGGATTTTTGCTTCAAGTTAGTTCTTCTTCTTCACTGGAAACGTCATCTCAACAAGGTATGTGCTTAAAAACTCTATCTTTTAGGCCAATTTCGAAATGTCTCTTGTATGTTCATATATGTTAGAAAATTTGAAATTTTCTTAGAAATATGACATAGAATGGTGTGGAATCTTATGGATAAATGTTTGTTGTTGCTAGATAGATGTTCCAAACAAGTTGCATGTGTCATCTGTGAATTTTTCTAAAAATTGAATTTTTGTTGTTAAAAATACATTCAATGTTGGAAAATGATTCTTAAGTTTATATTTGTGTGTGGATTAAAAATTGAAGTTTTTATAAATTTTTAGAATGACACTGAATTTTGACACTGCATTGATAGTCTGAATATTTACCTGTTACAGTTCTATTATGGTCTTAGTTAGAACTTGTCAGTTTTAGTTAACCTTTGGTTTAGCTGTGTTTTTACTGATTGGATAAATTTTTGAAAAAAAATTAGTTACTAAAAACATAACAGGACTTAAAACAATTATTTATTTAGACTGAATTTATTTTAACTTTGTTTGGAACAACTTGCCAAATGAATATTTGTTTTATTTTTGTGACACTTATGTGTTTAATGGCAAGTTTTGTTTTGTGGTTTTGTGGGTGGTTGATTTTGCATATGCCAGCAAAGAGATCAAGGGTAGCATCATCAAGGAGTGTATCCAGACAACCAGCTAGACAGTCGGAGCCGAATGTACCTGTGGCTTTTAACCCACAGTACCAAACATTGCATGAGCACCCAGATGACATTCGCCTGGAAGTTTGTGAGGCGACTCATCCGATTACTCGTTTTGTTGTGGAGTACATGGTAGAGCGACCAAGCTTCACTAGGTACAATATTGTGGAGACGTTTGATCGCTATGGATGGGGTGGAGTGCTGGACTTCAATCCGATCCAGATGTATGTTGATATAGTGCGGGAATGGATGAGGACACTTCGACATGTCGAGGTGCCTGGTGGTAGGCCAGAGGAGTTGCAGCTTATTGGTACGGTTCGTACTCATGATATAGTGATGACTGTGCAGGGTATTCGGGACATGTTTCATGTAGATACTGGATATCATTTGGATGATCTTGACAATTAGCCGACTGAGTATAGATGTATTGTCACACCCCCGAACTAGACGGCGGAAATGTCCGAGGGCTTATGCGTTACTTCATCTTGAAATATCATTACAGTGAATATAATTGAAGCGTAACATCATCATCATCACACATGTAATATAACAACATTCATTATTTACATCGAGTATTGTATTTGAATATTACCTGCCAAAATAGTAAGAGTATGACGAAACAAAATATAACACAATATCCATTAGTTTGTTTCATTCATCCTGCTTCAACAGTTTCCTGAGAATACAAGTTATTTTGAAAAACGGTCAACATAAAAATGTTGGTGAGTTCATAAGCATGTTTGTGAAAATGATTTGTATAACTTTGAAACCACCAAAAAATCTGATATTTTCTACAAACTGTAGTAAATAATGACAATTTCGCCTATCTTGGCGTTGTTAGACGCCGGTTTTGATTTTTGATTATAAGGTTTTTGTCACCCTAGACTGAGTTAGTCTAAATGTAGCGAACAACTCAGGTGTGGGGTGTCATCCCCGTATAGATCTATACACAAATCCCCGTTCTCCTTCCAAGAGAATCTGGTTATAACTAGCAGGCTACGCTCATATAGGTGCTAACCGACAAAACTCACTAGATCCTTAATCGAATTTACGCGAAGAAAGGTATAATCTCATCCCAGACCCAATGAACAATGTAAGTGAACCACTAAGGCATCGCTAAACATGTACATCATTTAAAAACCCAAATTGGAATGAAATTATATAAGATACACCCGATATATATATATATATATATATATATATATATATATATATATATATATATATATATATATATATATATATGAAAGGACAACTAAGGCCCATTTCACATGTAAGGTATTCACAGGCCTAAATAGCACACAAATATTATCCAAGGTCCGTCACACATGTTAATGGGTCAATGAGGCCCCAATAACATATAAATAGCATGCATGACCTATCACACGTAAAAATCGGCCACTAAGGCCCAATAATTTACAAAATGATCAAAATAATCTATTTGTTAGTTATCGTTGGTTTTGGTTCAAGTATTTACTAAAATAGCAAAAGAAAGAAGACCACATATAAAACTCATTCCCAGGCCCAATAAACATGTAAGTGGACCACTAAGGCCCAATATATGTGTCTATTATTTCCAGGCTCAAAGGAATAAGAATGTCTATCCTAAGCCCAATATACATGTAAAAGGACATTAAGACCCACTAAACATGTATATTATTTCCAGGTCCGATAAGGATATGAATATCGTTTTTAACCCGTTTGCTATTGTTTTGTTTATTTTAGCTTTATTATTTACAAAGTTGATATAAAAAGCCCACTTTTTGTAAAAATGACGTTCTTGGCCCAATAAGCCAAAAATTTACAACTAAGGCCCAATTTTTGTAAGAATAACACTTTAGTCTCCATTTTGTTCAAAACTTGTGTTGATGACTAGTTGGTGGTAACAATAAAATTTTAAACGCATTTTTGTCAAAATATCATTTTTGGCTTGATTTTTGTGGAAATACACATTTTTCTTGTTTTGGGCTTTGCCGACCTAGTTTTTGGAAAATTTGTAGAAAAATCATCGGAAGTCGAAATTTTGATCCATAAATTCTGGAATCCTGGAAATTTTGTCTACTTTGTTCAAAAGTTTTATAATAATTTTTAATGGCATCTAAAAAGTGTAAAATTGCTTACCTTCACAGACTCGTCCGGAATTATTTCAAATTCGATAGGAAGTTTTGTAAAATTCATCAAAAATTGTAGAAAAATCGTATGAAAACGTGAGAGTAGTCATTTTAAAGTTATAAATCTAAACTTTATCCATGTAAAACATTTTTGAAAAATACTTCCATTAAGAGGGTCAAAACAGTTCGAGATTGGGCTAAAACTTTCCTGTCAAAAGCAGATTTTTTTAGTATAAGTTATAGATCTTGGAGCACAACACTCATTTTTGCTATTTTAAGTGTATAATTCCCAGATCTACAAGTTTATAATTAATATACGTGATAAAACATACTTTTCTCAAGGTTCTTATGAAGATCCAAGTGATAAACTTGAAGTTCTTAACATATTTTTAGATTAATGAAGTAATCAACACATAATCACCAAATAATTCATGGAAAGCACACATAGTCATGCATATACACATAGATCTACACAAATCAACTTGTATTCTCCCCCAAAAACAAGTAAAAACCAAAAACAAGGGGGTATGAACTCACCTTTGCTTTGATGTTTCGGTTTTGAAGAAGAGACGAAGAGATTTTTGGTTCCTAGCAACACCTTGATGAGGATTTCGAGTTTAAGAAGTTTCTAAGGAGTATGATCACCAAAATCTTGTTTAGAAGGAGTAATCTAATATGAGAAAGAAGTTATATAACTTGGATATGTAGAGACTTACCAAGAATGAGGATTTTTGGTGGTGGAAACCTTCTTGAAGATGCTCAAGATCTCGAAAATTAGGGAGGAAGGAAAGAGTGTTCTTGTGAATGTTTGAGAGAGATTTTTGCAATGGAGTGTGTGTGTTTGTGTATCTTTGGACATAAGTAGAAGAGAGAGGGTGAGAAGATTGTGCATGGATATATGGACTTTGCATAGATGTATGTGATGGATTAAGGTTGGTTGTCCTTTAAACAAAAGTGATGTGTCATGGTGTGGATTAATTAGCCATTTCCCAATTTTTTTTATTAAATGGGCCGAGAATTGGGTTTGGAAGGAGGAGGTGAATTGGTTTGGGCCCAATCTTAATCTTCACTCAAAATTATAAAGCTCATAGGAAGGTTTTCGACCCATTGGGCTCATTAAATGGTTCACTAAGGTTAATTAGATTAGTTATGGCCCAATAAGGCCCATTAGAAATAAGATGGATCATTCTAGGCCCAAAGTAGTCAAGTTGAAAGTTTATTGGTTCGTTAGACCCAATAAGAGAATCCTAGTCCATAATAATCTTGAACCGGGATTTCTAAGGTTTCCAACCCTTAGTTGAACATATGAGATGTATTTTAACCAGAATAGAGTATAGGCTTTTACAATGGATGATGCTTACATGGGAATAGAATTCCCTAGCAAAAATCCAGTTGTGACATCATCCCCCCGTTAGAGGGAATTTCGTCTCGAAATTCTTTCGAAGGATAAGATCATGAATGAGAGATTATGTGAGGGTATTCCATCTTTTATCTGGTCCTTGCGTTCCCATGTGAATTCCGGTCCACACTTAACGTTCCATCGAATTTTCACAATCAAAATGCGACTTTGTTTAGTACGCTTCACTTCCCTGCCCATAACTTCAGCCAGTTCTTTGACGGACCAAAGATTCTTGTTTATCTCGATCTCTTCCAAAGGAATGACAAGAGTTTCATCTCCTTAACACTTTTTTCAAATTCGAGATGTGGAACATGGGGTGTACATTACTGAGCTCCGAAGGCATCTGCAACTTATAGGCTATCGGACCAATTTGGGCGAGAGTCTCGAATGGTCCGATGTATCGTGAGTTCAGTTTTCCCGTTTCCCAAAACGAATCATTCCTTTTTAGGGAAATACTTTCGATAGCACCCAACCTCTGATTTGGATATCAAGAGGTTCTCGTCATTTCTCAGTGTAACTCTTTTGTCTGTCTCGTGATGCTTGAATTCGAGTTCTGATTTGGATGATCTTCTCTGTCGTTTCACGAATGGTTTTATGGTCCTATGAGACTACTGACAAGTGATCTGCAGTTACGACCATAAACAGCCTCAAAAGGAGCAACCTTCATGCTCATGTGATTGTCGTTATGGTTTGAGAATTCAATCAAAGGCAACTGGGTATCCCACGACTTTTTGAATTCAAACTCCCAGACTTGGAGCATGACTTCGAGTGGTTGAATGGTCCATTCGCTTTGGCTATTGGTTTGAGGGTGGTAAGCAACGCTCATATCTAGCTATTTTCCCATAGCCTTCTGAAGTGACTGTCAAAGTCTTGAAGTAATCCCATTATCTCCATCCGAGATAGTAGATATCGATATTTCATGGAGTTTCATGATCTCCTTGATATAGATCCCAACTAATCTTTTCGTCTTGTTTGATTTCTATATTAGCAGGAAATGGGCAAATTAGGTTAACCTATCGATGATCACCCAGATAACGCCCAACTCAACTTTTACAATAATAAGCTTCGTCCTTCGACTTCGAGAGTTTTATCCATCCATGTAGTGCTTTCTTCGCGATATTCTCCGGCTTTGATGCTTTCAAGACTAGTCGTAGATGTCGACAGTGTTTTGTTCTTGCTTGGTGAGCAGATGAGTATGTTATCGATTTACTGAAAAGGCTGACTATGAATGGTTGTGAAAACTCGGTATGTAGGTTCCATGAATACTGTAGGAGCATTCATTAGACCAAAGGGTATCATAACGAATTTGAAATGGTCGCGACGAGTTCGGAAAGCAGTTTTTGGAATGTCGTCTTCTCGGACTCGAAATTGATGATAACCGGTCCTTAAGTCTATTTTGGAGAAGCAACTATCCCCTTGAAGCTGGCCAAGTAGGTCGTCAATCCGAGGGAGTGGGTATCATTTTTTTATGGTGAGCTTATTCAATTTCCTAAAATCGTTGCACCTTCTGAAGGATCCGTCTGCTTGAAGAACAAGACCGGAGCTCTCCAGGGTGAGAAGCTTGGTCTAATGGATCCTTTGCTCAAAAAAATTCTTGATTGACTAGATAACTTCTGAATTTCAGCGGGAGTCAACCTATAGGGTGAATTGGCAATTGATGTGGTTCCTAGTATGTGGTTGATTCGAAGTTTGACCTGTCTCTCTAGGGTATCCCCGAAAGTTCTTCAGGAAATACATCCAGAAAATCGCATGCTACTGGAATGCCTTGTATGCTTACTTCTTCCTTGGTCTTGTCCACAACAAGAGCGAGGAAAACGTAGTTCTTTTGGTGCAGGCACTTCTGTGCCTTGATGCACGTGATAGGACGAAGATTGGCACCATGTTTATCACCATGGATT